AAAATAATGTTTATTTATAAAATTTCAAATAAATATTTAAGGTACAAATGTAAAAACCAAGGTACGAAAGCTTTTTAGCCGGTTCTATGTGTCTTGGGAAGCCCTGAAAGGGAAACTGTTAAAGCAGCGCATAACACCAGCAGATCATTAACTTTGACTTAACAAAAAAAACCACTAACAAAGCAGTAACTGACTCTGTAGCAATGCAGATTAAAATCTAATTAAACAAGCAGACTGTTTAAACTAGAGCCCTTACACTTGACTAAAAAGTATTCTCCTAGATACATGAGTAGGCAATTATAAAACTGTCCAAAAATGGCTAAACTATGATTTTCCAGGTGCTAAGTGGCATTAGCTGACATCTAATGAGCAACTAATCAGGAAAGAAAGGAGTAATCCTCACCACAATATTCTTTTTTTAAAGGTGGTGGTTTTGTCGTATGTTAGGTGACAACATGAACAAACAGCCTCGAGACGGCTTATACAGTCGGTATTTATAGAAAGACCCAGTGCATGGCAGGGAAAGGATGCCGGGATGACTCCTGTGATGGGGCAGGGCTCCGGCTGTGCGGGGGCTGCTTGGAGAGCTCTTGCAGAGCCCCCTGGGTCTCAGCCCCACTGTGTGCGAGAGGGTGATGAGCTTGTACCCCACCATCATGGCAGCCCAAGCGCAGAGGTCATCAGTAGCTGCATGTCGGAGCGTGGACCGTGCTGGGAGCGGCAGTTCGGCCCCAGGAAGGTACCGAGCCAGGGATGCGGCAGTCCAGCAAAGCACCCATCCCTGCTACGCCAGGCACGCCAGGCCAGGGCAGCTGCGTCTCCAGCTCAGCCCATCCCTACTGCTGGCTCCGGCAGCAAATGGCGATGACCACAGCTGTGCTGCTGCCAGGGATGCTGGCTGCCACACAGGTATCATCCACGGCGTAGGCTCCCATGGTGCCGGGGCTCTGGGAATGGGCATTACAGCCCGTCAGCGTCCAGCCGTCATCACAGGACACCATCACCTAATAGAGGAGAAGAGGTCATTCTCCGTGGGTCAGCAAAGGGGCAGGGGTCTGCCTGTCTTTGGGGCTCAGGGTGATGTGGCTGGTGTCACACTGAGCCGCTGGACCCCAGCTGGGGTGGGTGTCCCATTACAGGTGGCCAACTGGGGACACCAGTGAAGGCTGGGGTTGGGGCGGCCGCAATGAGATGCCAAAGCCAACCCGACCCCCCCTTCAGGGTGGCAGAGGGACAAGCAGAGGCGAGGACAACACCACAGCAGAGGAACGTGCACCATCCCTACCTTCCCCGCAGAGCCCAGGGACGTGTGCTCCTTCACCCGGCACTCGAGGCCAGCGGCGGGGCAGCACAAGGCGTGCGCCATCACCTCCATCCTGCTGGCACAGTGGCTGGGCCCACTTCCCAGCCCCGCAACAGGTCTGCCACCATCACCCAGCACCACAGCAGGGGAGTGGAAACTGCACCCTGCCGAGAGGAGAGGGGCTGTCGGCGCGGGACAGCCACGGCAGCATCCCCCGGCAAATTTTTGGGGCTGTCGGCACGGGACAGCCATGGCAGCATCCCAGGGCACACACAGGTGCTAAGGGATGTCCCCACTGAGCCCTGAGCCTTCCCTGCCTCCATGCACGCAGCACGTGTCCCCCTTCCCTGTCAGCTCAGCACTCACACCCACCCTTTTACCCCCAGGTCTCACAGTTTTTCTGGAAGAAACACCCTTGGCCATCAGGGTGTTGGCTCAAGGGTCTGTAACCCGCCATGTTGGGCATTACCGGTCAGCACGTGGTCCCGCAGGGAGCAGCCGGCCCCCTCGGCCACCGGGGAGCTGACGTTGATCCAGCACTCGGCCCTGGGCCACATGCAGCACCTGGCGATGGCGTAGACGCCCCGGCCCCGGAAAGCATTGTGGGCCACACACTGCTTCTGCCCATCCTTGTCCTGCAGCCAGGCAGCACAGTGTCACCGGGGATGCTCAGGGGCCTGGGGATGCCCCTCCGAGGCCAGCAGGCACCCCACAGGCAGTACTTCTGTCTCTGCATGCTCTGCTCACCTCCATGTGCTCCCCCAGCCGCCTGCCACTGTGGGAGAAGCTGGAGCAGCTGAGCATCTCCTCGGCACTGGCACAGCGAGCCACGGCCGTGGCGTGCCAGGTGAGCCCTGAGCGCGCTGACCACACCGAGCGGCAGTACAGCTGCTTGTCTGCAGTGGGGCAGATGGCATCAGTGGCAGGGTGGATACCCACAGCAGCACCCAGAGCCCACGGCACAGATCGGGCTGCCAACGAGGGCTGGCAGGTCTCCCCGCTACCCTCTGCATGCAAATAGCTGTGCTCGGGCTCAGCTGTTCCCAGCACAGCTCAGGGAGGGACATGCCCTGCCGATGCACCGTGCTTTCACCCAGGCACTTCTTTCCCCAGTAAGGGCAGAGCTCTGCCGGGCACCCAGCAGGCAGCCGAGGTCTTTACCTGCACCCAGCTGGGTGGGCAGCCCAGCCACACTGTTGGGCGTCTGGAGCCGCTGCTCCTCGGGGAACCATGCTGTGTCCATGACGTTCTTAGTGGCGAAGTGCAGGAGGCGCTGCCGGAGCTCAGCGAGGCTCAGCTGGGGCTCGGCGCTGAGCAGCATGGCGGTGATGCCTGCCGAGAGCCCAGTGGGGCCACAGTGAGAACCAGGGGCCATGCAGCCACCTACATACGACTCCCCCGAGCAACACAACTCCAGAGAGACAGGAGAAGGAACCACTGCAGCCCATCATCCACATGCACAGGATGCGGAAGCTCTGTGCAGGCTGCAGCACCCAAATGAGCCAAACATGCCAAAACCGTGGCACCATGGCATGCAAAAATGTCCCCAGCACAGGCAGCCCTGATGCCCTGCACCTGCAGGGACGTGTGTGCAGCACCAGCAAGTGGAGGGCCAGCCCTGCCTGCCACCCCAGAGCCCAGCTCACCTGCCACATGCGCAGCCGCCTGCGACGTCCCACTCTGTGCTGTGAAGCACGTGCTGCAGTCGCTGGAGGCGCCGATGATGTCGTCCCCTGGGGCAAACAGGTCCACGCAGCGGCCAAAGTTGGTGCCCAGGGTGCCGATGGAAGCGGGCTGGTCCTCACTGTTGGTGGCACCGACTGTGATGACCTGCCAGGGCAGTGACAGAGGGGGACATGGGCGGGACGGGATGCGCAGCCCCAGCCCACTCAGCTGACTTGGCACTGGAGCGGATGAGCCTAGGGAGGTGGCAGCATGTCCCCGCACATCCCCACACCTCAGGGAGCCCTCCCAGCCCGTACCTCCGGCTCGGACGCTGGCGAGTACAGGCAGGCATCATCCTTGTAGTTACCGGCAGCCGCGACCACCACCACCCCCATCTGCGCCATCCGCCGACAGCCAGCATTCAGTACACGGCTGTAGGCACCAGCAAAGGGCAGCAGCACCACCAGTGGTGCATAGGGCTGAGCCTCCAGCGTCGCCTTGATAAACTCCAGGCCTGGGGGGGACGAAACAAGGGACAGGACACTCTCGCAGAATGGGGACAAGGCAGGGGGCTCCGGGAGGGAACACGCTCCTCTCCGGGGTGTGGGGTGACTCACCGATAAGGGTCCCGCTGACGGTGCCCTTCCCCTGGCAGTTCAGCACACGGAGGCTGCGGACGTTGGCGCCCGTGGCCACACCGGCGTCACGCCCGCTCAGCACCCCTGCCATGTGGGTCCCGTGGCTGTCACACTTGCTGGCCTGGCACAGGCACCACAGTTTTACGCCCCGGCCCATTGCATCAAAGCAGGTTTGCAACACCGTAGTGTCCTCCCCATCCCACGCCACCCCTTGTGCTTTGCACCAGCTAAATCCCACTGCAGAATAAATCTTCAAAAATATTTGGGGGGATGGGAGATAAAAAAAATCATCCTGTGCAGAAGGAGAAAAGCTGGCAGAAAGGATGGGGGATGCAGCCAGCCTTCCCTGGGGCTGTGCTAGGGCTGGGCTCCCCTACCCATGCATTGATGCAAGCCATGCAAGGCAGCACTAGCACCCACCGCAGGACGCAGGCAGCCTTAGCAGCCCTAGGTATGGAGTCGACCTTGATTCCCTCTTGCAATGACACCTTGACACGCACCCATGCTCCCCCCAGCCTGCTTTCCCCGGAAAGGAATCATAGAATCATAGAATAGTTTGGGTTGGAAGGGACCTCTAAAGGTCATCTAGTCCAACCCCCCCGCTGTGGGCAGGGACATTTTCAACTAGATCAGGTTGCTCAGAGCCCCGTTCAGCCTGGCCTTGAATGTTTCCAGGGACGGGGCATCCACCGCCTCTCTGGGCAACCTGTGCCAGTGTTTCACCACCCTCAG